GTTTCCGAGCAGCAGCACTGGGGTAGGAGGGAGGTAGGAGGTGAGTGAGGCTGGTGCAAGGGGTCCAATGCAGCAGCGGGGGGAGAGGGTTTCCTGCAAGCTGCAAGCGTGATGCTGGATGTCCATGCCCTGACCTCACCATGGCCCTAGCACCGGAGGTGCAGACCCATCATGTGTCAACCCAGAGCCAACCTCCCCTCTTCCTCCACACTGCGGCCGCTCCGGAGCTCGCGCCTGTGGCTGGAGCAGCATCCCTGCCCTGCTGGGGTCATCATCCATGGGCACGCTGCTCCTGAGGGCAGGGCGGCTGCAGGATGGGGCTGCATCGGGAAGGAGGTCCTGGGTCCGTGGGAAGGGGATGGGAGCAGAAGGGGAAAAAAGGGGGGATGGAGGAGGTTAAACGAGGTGCAGGAGTCAGGATGCAGGGAATGGCTGCGGCAGATGGGGCTGATTCCGGCACCCGGGACCCACGCTCCCACCTTGGCCGTGGTGCTTGGTCCCTGGTTTGTCCTCCCTCGACGGCAGGGGCAGAAGCTGAACACAAACCTCAGCCGTGCTCTGAGGGCAGTGCAGTTTACGGCGAGCTCAAAGCCTTGTGGATGCCGAGCGCCGCGTCTCCATCAGCTCTGGCCGGGCTTCCTAAACTTCTTGTTTGGGATTTGGGCCTTTTCCTTTAATAGCGGCAGTGGTTTGTGTTAGAGAAAACCAGCCCAGGGGAGTTTCTTTGGTGAAAACCGGATATCATGGTTCAGTGGGGAGCGTGTGTGTGTGTGTGTGTGTGCAGAGATGCCCGACTTGGGGCACGTTTACAAGCGAGGGTAAATTCTTGCTCGTGAATGGATGTGGAGTTTTTGCCTGGGAACATTTGCACCTATGTGCTGGGGAACGTGCATGTGGATGTGCACCCGTGTGTGTGTTGGAGCGTGCAAAGAAGCAGCCCCGTGTGTTTAGGGGTGCTCGGGGGGGATGCGCAGTCATTTCTATGCAGTTCTATGGGGTTCCTTTCTGCAAACACCCCACACACCACTCTTTTAAAGCGGGATATGGACGATTTCTCCCCCGTCATCGCCTGTCCCCATCCGTTTCGTTCCCTTTTCTCACTCCTATGGCTCATTACAAGCCTGTCAGGCCCAAGAGAGGGAATGGGTTGTACATCTCCGCCTGGCTGCCTTCCCAGCCACGCTGCCAGCGTTTCCCCATCGGACGTTGGTTCCCCTTCCCCTGCCCAGGGGGAAGATGCGCCTGCAGCAGGACCTGCTTTACCCAGTGCTGGAGCCGCGCAGGGAAGGCAGCGATGGGGAGGGAGGAGAAGGGAGAGGAGAGGCAGCTTTCCCAGCCAGCGGCGCAGCATCCCGGAGGGAGCGGGGAGCCAGCGCCTCTTTGGACACATCAAGCAAAGCAGCTGTGTTGGGTTCCATATGTCGGGGGTGCCAGGCTCCGTGACATACGGGCTCACTTAGTGTACAATGAGCCCCCCCTGCCTCTCGCCCCTGCACTCTGCTTTTCCCCTTTGCTCATCCACCACCTGGCATCTCTCCGGAGAGGCAGGAGAAACGGCTCCCACCTTCTCCCAGAGCCGCTCCACCGGCTCCTTTCCACCCTCCGTGCCCGGGATCCCGGAGCCGATCCCAGGATGGGGTCCTGCTCCGTCTGGGACCGATGCTGCAGGGCAAGGAGGGGAGCAAAGAGCCGGGTTCTCCCCCTCGTACTGAGAGCCCTCGTACTGAGAGCCCTTGTGCTTCTGTTTTCTAGAGCACGCAGGAGTCCGGCTCTGACACCGACAGCTCCAGAACTGGGTCCTGCCACGGCTGCAAGGGAAGAGCCCGCGATCTCTGAGCGCATACAGGGGATATTTCCTCATCTCCCTATTTATTTTATATGCCTCCTGCCATCGTTCACCCATCATTTGTAGCGGTCGCTGTCGGCCACCCCTCGAGTTTTCCAGGAAAAAGGGAAAAACTTCAAATTCCCTTGCAGAGACTGTGACGAGGATGAAGAGGAGGAGAATAGCCCAGAGCTTGCTGTGAGCCGGAGACCTTGTCACTAAAGCAGAGCAGCTCTGCTCCAGCGCCGTGCTTGGCTCAGTCCGTCCTGCCGCAGCCCCGGAGCACCCATCCCGCTGCCTGCTCTTCCTCGGCAGCGATGATGCTCAATTCGGACCAGACAGAGCTCGACCTGGCCCCGACACACTCCGAGTCCGAGTCCGTCTTCAGCGACTGCGGCGGCGTCCACACGGGCGGCCCTGAGGACGCCGGCGCCGTCGGTCTGTGCGCTCCATCCCGGATGGAGCCGGGAGAAGCAGTGAAGAAGGACCTGCAGCACCTGAGCCGGGAGGAGCGCCGGCGCCGGCGCCGGGCCACGGCCAAGTACCGGACAGCCCACGCCACGCGGGAGCGCATCCGCGTCGAAGCCTTCAACATGGCCTTTGCGGAGCTGCGGAAGCTGCTGCCCACCCTCCCGCCGGACAAGAAGCTCTCCAAGATCGAGATCCTGCGCCTGGCCATCTGCTACATCTCCTACCTGAACCATGTGCTGGATGTCTGAGCCGCCCGGCCCGTGCTCATCCCGCCGGCTGCCGCATCTCCGACCTGAACACGTGCTGGGCGCCCGAGCCAAGGGCTCAAGTCCGTCTGTCCGTCTACGACCCGACCCACGCATCAGGCATCCAAAACGCTGTTGCCTGTGTCCACCCATCTGTTCAAATGGACCGCGTCCCCGGCTGTCTGCTCTACCCCCTCTCTGAACCATGTCCTGTATTTCCCCACCACCAAGCCCAAGTCCGTCTGTCTTTCCATCCTGCTCGAGTCAGGCTGGCTGTTTGGTCCATCACCATCTGTCTGGCCTGCTGGATCTGCTGCCTGAAGCCTGGGCTGGCCGTGTCTGCTTCCAGCTTCTGTCCGTCCTTCTGCCGCGCATCCCACCCGTGCTGCCTGCTGGATCCTGAGTCCGCCCGTCTGCCCGCCCCATCTGCTCCCTGACCCACACACACAGGAGCCACTGAGCCCCAGCCTGTCTGCGTGGCACCTCTTTAACACGAGCCACGGAGAAATGGACCCGTGAAACCTTGTCCGTCCGTCTGTCTGCGCCTTCTCCCACCAAGCACCCCCCCGGCACAGCCAGCGTGGGCAATCTCTCTGTTTGCTGCTGTTCTGCTCCTGGGCATCGTGCTGGGCACCTGAAGGACCACGTCAGGATGATCCGGGACCACCAGGCAGCCCCAGGGTGCAGAGCAGCTCCCTGGCTTTGCACACCCCTAAAGGATGTGCTGCAGCCCTGGCAGGACCTGGATGCCAGCGGTGGGTTCCCGGTGAGCTGGAGCACAGAGGGATGCTCGCTGTGCTGCCTGCCAGGTGCCGGAGCCATTCCAGGCTGGAGCAGCACCCGGGGGCTCCCCAAGCCCCTCCATTGCACATGGGGGCTCCCCAGAGCTCAGCACTCTGCTCCCCACATCCATGCATCCCAAGCTTTGCTGCCCAGCCCTCTTTTGCACTAGTGCACAGTGAGTGTGAAGCCCCCCTGGTCTGGCCCATGGCACCGATAGGCACAACCACCCCATGGCACCAGCACTTCATCCCCCCCCACACTCTTCCTCTGTCTCCCATTCACTGCTCTGGTGAAAAAGGCTTGGGGGGGGGGTCACAAGCACAGCACAGGGGGCACCGGGACCCACATGCAAAGAGGCTTCACCCCTGGGTGCCAGGCCCCCCCCCCCCATTTACACCAGCACGGCCCCGGTGCGGGGTGACCTTCACAGGCTGGGGTAAACTGCACTTTACCTGCGGCTGGCAGGGCCGTGGGGATGGGGAAGGGAGGAAGCAGGCACAGCCCCATCCCCGGCTTCCATAGCCGGGATTCAGCCCGGTCCCTCCCAGCCGTGGATCAGCACTTTGGGAGCAGGAAGGGGAAAGGGAGCCCAGGAGCCTTTCCTCCAGCGAGGGCAGGCTGAGGCTGGGGAAGGCTCCTTGCAGAAGTGAGTGCTTTGCTTTGCCTTGCGCTGGTGGGGGCTCGGTTGGTTGAAGAGTTCGTTTTGCGCTGGCAGTGGCAAGATCCGGCTCCATCCCAGCGGGTGCTGGCAGCTCCCAGCGCCGCCTCGCTCCGGCCCTCGTTCCCCCCTGCCCATGAAAGTCGGGAATTCTCGCTACCTCTGCCTCCCAAGGACTCACCGGTGAACGGGGGATCCCGGAGGGATCAAGCAGCGCATCCCAGAGCCGGCTCCCCCATCCCTGCATCGCAAGGCAGCGGCCGAGCAAAGCCAGAGCAGGGCAGCCCCCCCCCCCTTCCCCGCCCCTCCCCAGCCCCGTCTCTGTGCCACGAGGATATTTATTGGATTAATTTATTGATAAATGTTATTATTATTTACTTGCCGCTTTGTGCGCTTTGGGGGAAAGGGGAGCCAGCAAACAGACCCAGAGCCCACGGCCGGAGCGGCCAGGCTGGAAAACCCTGCTCCGTGCTCTGCCCCGGCGCCTGCTCCTCCGGGCTGCTCAGCCTGAGCAAGGCTTTGGTATTGCGGAGTTCACAAGGAAGCTGGGGAGGGGAAATGAATTAAACTGCAGCGAAAGGGGGATCTTGAACCTGGAGCGCCCGGCTTCCCTTTTGCTTTCCCTTGAATGCTGGTTTTACCCATCCCTTGCGCTGCTCGGTGCCGGGGGTGATGGATCCCCCATGCAGGAGCCGATGGCCGTGGAAGGGAGGGCATCCCGCAGGGACCAGGATGGGTCCTCTTTGGTGCAGCAGATCCGGGCTCGCTTCACATCCTTGGCTTTCCCCCACTCCACAGCCCCGGCTTGAGCCCAGCTTGGAGTTGCTGGGATAAACGGACCCGGAGCGGCCCAGTGGCTCTGGTGACAGCAGCAGGATGAGGCCATCTGCTCCAGCCATCAGCATCCCCAACCCCACCCCATAAATCACCTTCTCCCTCCCGTGGCCCCCCCCTGGGAAATCAGCGGCGGCACCGACGTCACCCACGGCTTCCCGGTGTCCCCCAGCCCTCTCCCTGCTCCCTCAGCCCACCCCGAGCTGCGCTGGGAAGCAGGTTTGCGGCTCGTGTCCTTTGTCTGCGCGGATGCGGGGCATCCCCAGGGGCAGGGCTGCAGCTGCTCCGCCGCTTGCTCCAAATTTCTGCCTCTAATCAATTGGCCTCGGCTCAGCAGAGCTGCCTCAAAGGGAGAGAATAAACAGGGGGAGGGAGAAGGGAAGGAGGGAGGGGACTTTGCACCGGGCAATAGCTCCGATGGGGCACGGAGAGGGACCTCAGCGCTCCCAGGTTCCCTTTTTGTCCCAGCACAGGGGTTTCTCCCCAGTGATCACCCCTTGGGATGCCCCATGTACCCGCTGCCTGCATCCAGACCCAGCCTCCGCACAGGGATGCTCATGCTGGGCGGCCATCTCCATCCCACCTCCATCCCATCTCCATTCCACCTCCATCCCACCTCCATCCCATCTCCATCCCGTCTCCATCCCGTCTCCATCCCATCTCCATCCCATCTCCATCCCACCTCTATCCCGTCTCCATCCCACCTCCATCCCATCTCCATCCCGCCTCCATCCCACCTCCATCCCGTCTCCATCCCATCTCCATCCCATCTCCATCCCACCTCCATCCTGTCTCCATCCCACCTACATCCCACCTCCATCCCATCTCCATCCCACCTCCATCCCACCTCCATCCCACCTCCATCCCATCTCCATCCCAACTCCATCCCGTCTCCATCCCACCTCCATCCCATCTCCATGCTGTCTCCATCCCACCTCCATCCCACCTCTTTCCCATCTCCATCCCACCTCCATCCCACCTCCATCCTGTCTCCATCCTGTCTCCATCCCACCTCCATCCTGTCTCCATCCTGTCTCCATCCCACCTCCATCCCATCTCCATCCCATGTCCATCCCACCTCCGTCCCACCTCCATCCCACCTCTTTCCCATCTCCATCCCACCTCCATCCCATCTCCATCCCATCTCCATCCCATCTCCATCCCACCTCCATCCCATCTCCATCCCATCTCCATCCCATCTCCATCCCACCTCCATCCCACCTCCATCCCGTCTCCATCCCACCTCCATCCCACCTCCATCCCACCTCCATCCCACCTCCATCCTCTCTCTGGGAGGTGACAATGGGATAGGGCAGTGCAAGCTCCACGCAGCAGCTCCCAAACCTCCTCAGGGCCTGTTTGTTCCCGGCTGCGGGCCCCGGCCTTGACATATGGTCCTCATTGTGCCTCGCACAATGGAAACACTTCACGCTAATTCGGATGCTGGTTCTGGCCTCGCTGCCATCTCCGACAGATCGGGTCCCTCGCCTGCTCTTTGTGCTTGCGGGCAGGCAGGGAGCGGGCAGCTCCGCTTCTCCTCCACCCAACTCCCACTTCCCAACTCCTTTCCTGTTCCCACAGCTGTTTCCTTCTCTCCCTCTCCTTCCCCGTACACATCTCCATCTTTCCATCCTCCTCAAGGCCTCCGGAGGACCCCAGTCCCGGTGCGCAGCTAGGGGGATGCTCAAGGAACGTTTCACAGTGGAAAAGCAGAACCCACGGAAAACACAACCATGGAATCCCAGCGAGGTTTGGGTTGGGAGGGACCTGGAAGCTCATCCAGCTCCACGGGCAGGGACCCCTTCCACTGGAGCGGGATGCTCCAGCCTGGCCTTGAGCACTGCCAGGGGGTGGGGATGGCCCCTGGCCCTGTCCCACGTCCCTTCCTCAGCCAGCAGGGAGCAGCCAGGGCAGGATGTGACAGCCCGGGCTGGGAAGGGTGAATCCCTTGTTCCTGCTGCCCCAGGCTGCCTGTGCCCTGGTCCTGGGGGGGGGCAGCAGCAGCAGCAGTGTCCCCAGCCCCTCTGTGAGGCACCAGTGCCATCTGCTGGGTCCCTGTGATCAGAACTCCCCCTTTCCCCCTGCCCAGGGCTGGGTACCCCCATCCCCTGCCAGCCAGGCCGGGGAGCATCCCTGTGCCGTGCCGTGGGACCCAGCCCAAACCCGCTGCAGGTCTCAGGCAGGGCTGGGATCGGGACAAGGGATGAAGGCAAACGGTCCCTGGTGACCTCCCCAAAAGCATCCCCTGTTTCCTGCTCGCTTCGTGCTTGGCTCGGAGCGCAGGAGGTCCCGTCCCCATGGCCATGATGCCAATGGGAGGTGGGCATCTGGGAGAGAAAGGCCCTGACCCAAAAGGAACAAGGGTCTCATGATGCCATGCCTCCAGATGTGGTTGGATGCTGCTGGTCCCAGCCAGGGAGGGCAGCCACCCTGCTCTCTTCTTTTAGACTCCTAATCCCTGGAGTTACCCACTCCTTATGGAGCAGGAAGCCCAGCTCTGCTCCTCGGGACTGATGAGTGTCGGACCCGTCACTGTCGGTGCGCAGGGTGGCGGAGCAGCTCTGGGCCAAGAGAGGGGTCTGGTGGGCACGAGGGGCCGTGTATGGTGGTGTGTGACATGAGGGCTTTGGAAGGTCTCCCCTGCTCTGCAGAACGCAGACAGAGCTGGTCCTGGGCAGTCCTTTCCGAAGCACCCAGCACCCTGTGTGCCGCTGATCCCGGGTGCTCCTTTGGCCGGGTGCCTCGCAGAGTCCCGGGAGCAGGGTGCGGACGGAGGGGACGTCCCTATAAATCACAAGGGGGAACAATGGGGCCCTTCCCAGCTGGCAGGGAGGCTCCAGCAACCCCAGCTGGCCAGGAATGAGCTCCCAGGGCCCATTAATCACTCCCGGAGCCTGAACAGGAGCGAGGGGACAGCCGGGGGCAGCTGCAGAGGGAAGGGAGGGCAGAGGGACCCAAAGTCCTGCACCCTTGAGGTTACACCTCAGGGCCACTCTGGTGACTTGGCCCATTGAGCCAAGTGGGAAAACAGTGGGATAAGTATCCTGGGGTGAGCTGCGTGGGGCACCCCAGAGCAGGAATCACAGCGACGGCTCCTAGACGGGCTCCTCAATGATAGCCAAGAACCTCAGTCAAAAAGAGGGGGACAAGCTGGCCAAATCAGGGGTCCTCTCAAAGGGCCCCAAGCTCCGTCCTGCAGCTTCCAGCTCCGGTCACCCCTTCCCTCTGAGCCAGAACCCAGCCTGGACCACGCAGCTCTGGCTGCTCCATGGATGGTGCTGGGCACCACCTGCCTGGTGCCTTGGTCCCTGGGGCACACACGGGCAGGAAGGTGACCCCAAAATGCATGGGCTGAGCTGGGCCAGAGCTCAGACAGCACAGGAACCCTGTGGGGCGGGATGGGATGGGATGGGCTGGGGATGGGCTGGGGTGGGGATGGGGATGGGGATGGGATGGAATGGGGATGGGATGGAATGGGGATGGGATGGAATGGGGATGGGGATGGGATGGGGATGGGATGGAATGGGGATGGGGATGGGATGGGGATGGGATGGGGATGGGGATGGGATGGGGATAGGACGGGGATGGGATGGGGATGGGGATGGGATGGGGATGGGATGGGGATGGGGATGGGATGGGGATAGGACGGGGATGGGATGGGGATGGGGATGGGATGGGGATGGGATGGGGATGGGGATGGGGATGGGATGGGGATGGGGATGGGGATGGGATGGGGATGGGATGGGGATGGGATGGGATGGGGATGGGGATGGGATGGGGATGGGGATGGGGATGGGGATGGGGATGGGGATGGGGATGGGGATGGGATGGATAAGCCCCCGCCCCACGGCTCCCTTCCTCCCTCCCCAAACCTTCCTCCCCATTAAGGCAAAACAAGCCATTTAAATCCAGCCAATGGCGCGCCGCGCTCTCCTCCCGGCTCACGCCATTGGTCAGCGCAGGGAGGCGGGCCCGGTCCCTTCCCAGCCTCTCTCATTGATACCAAGCGCCCGGCGCGGCTGTTCCGGGCAGGTGACGCGTCCCCGCCGCGGCTCTTGCTCCCCAGTTCCCACGGCCCCATTGAGGGGCGGGGGCTGGCTTTGCAGAGCGCTCTGGGGCCGGGGGGGGGGGGGGGCAGATGTCATTGGGGGTCCCCCCTCATCAGCAGAGGGGATTGCGCTGCTCCAAAGACCTGAGAGCCCCCCCTATAAAGGACCCCCTCTTTTTTTTTTGGGGGGGGGCACGGCCCAGTGTGTTCCAGCCCTCCCCGTCCCCCCTCCCCGCCTGTCCCTTGTCGCTGGGGGGGGGGGGACGTAGGGGCCGGGGTCTCCCGGGTGCTCCCACCCAGCTCGGGGCTGGACCCCGGCACCGGGGCAATCCCGGGGCAGAGCCAGAGCCGGGCCACGGACCCCGTTTCATGGGGGGGGGACGGGGGGGGGGACACCCGAGGGTCCTGACCCCCACCCCAGAACAACTCGGCCCGACGTGGGGAGGGGGGGAACGGGGGCACGGCCGCGGGGCTGTCACCCCTCGGGGGCACCTTTCCCATGGGGAAGGCTCCTCCTTCCTGGTCTGGCCCTACCCGAGCTCGGGGGAGTGGGGGGGACACGAGTGGGGGGACCCGAATCTCGTGGGGCTTCACCTTCAGCCTTCCCCCCCCCCCCCACAACGCAATCAGCGGGGACCCCCGCGCACCCCCATCTCCATCCCCGGGTGCGGGTCCACACGGAGGGGGGGCCCCATTCCCATCAGCAGGTAATAAGGGGGGGTCAAGGCGGGGTTGGGGGGAGGGTGGAGGTGCCCCCCCCCCCCCCAAGACAATGGCCCTGGAGCGCGGAGCGGAGACAATGGGCGGGCGCGGGGGGAGCGGCCGGGAACAGCGGCGCGGGCGGGGGCTGCGGGCCGGGGAGCGGCGGAGCGGGGCTGGGGGGGGGCCGCTCCGCTGGGATTCGGGGTTTCCTCCGCCTCCTCCTCCTCTTCCTCCTCCTCCTCCTCCTCCTCCTCCTCCATCGCCGCAGCAGCAGCAGCAGCCCCGGGATTTCGGTGCCGGGGGGGGGCGGGACGCGCACAAAGGTGCGGCGGCGATGGTGAGTGCGGGGGGAACCGTGGTGAGTGCGGGGGGAAGCGGGGAGCGGAGCGAGCCCCGCGGGGAGCGGGACCCGACCGGGCTGGGGCTGGGGCTGGGGCTGGGCTCGCCCCGCAGGATGGGCCTGGGAAGCCGGGGACTTTCCTGGGCCGGCGGCCAGGCGGGGAGCGGCTGCGGGGCGAGCCCGGCTCCCGCGGGGGGTGCGGAGGGTGCGGGGTTCCCCATAACCCCCCCCTTTTCCCCGGCCGGGGTTCGGGGCGCGCTGGGGATGCCCCCGCTCGCTGCCTTGCCCCAGGGCTCCGCTGGATCTTCGGGAGCCTCCCGGTGGGTGCCGCAGCGAGGGCCGGGTCCTCCCGGCTGAATGCAGCCTGGCACCGGTGCCCGTGGCTTTCCCGCTCGGCAATGGGAATGCTTCCACCGGCAACCACCCGGCGGCCTCCAAGCCCTTTGTGCCCAGCGCGGGTGTAAGCGCCGGGCTTCCTCCCCGCAAGCCGTAATGGGGACGGAGGTGGGCATCCATAGGGCACGCACCCCACTACCTGCCCCGCACCGGGGCTGGGTGGCCGCTCGGAAGCGCGAAAGCAGGCGATGCTCCTGCCAGATCCGTGGCATCCATGGGGCAGGGTCGGTCCGTCCGTGCCGGAATGCTCACCTGCGAGAGACTCGGCCGGATCCTGATCCGGTTTATCTTGGTCCCATGCTGGCACCTTGCCCTGAGCCAGCAGGGAGTTCCCTCCGCTCTACACCGGGCGCGGGCTCAGACATCGGCCCTGCTGCTCTGTCTGGGGTGAGAGGCTTGATTTCCTTAGGAGAGGGCGTAGAGGCTGTTTGCCCCCTCCAGGCCTTGGTATAATAATAACCAAGGCAGAGGTTAAAAAGAAAAGAGAAGAATTAAATATTATCTCCATGGAGCCTCTGGGAACGGCTGTTGCTTAATCACAGCAATTCGGGATTGTGCTGGGACCAAGCTGGGCTCCGAGGCAGCCTGAGTCAGATGTGATCTCTGCACAAGGCTTCTCCTCTGTATTTACACTGTCTTTGTGCTGGGGGGGGGCTCAGGATGAGACCTGCTTTAATTAGCAGCCGATTTCATTGGAGCCGGTGATGGCTCCTCACCGGGTGATGGTTGCAGGGTGCTGGGTCCCTTTGGGCAGCCCCATCCGGGGGGCATAGCCCAGGGGATGGGCACAGGGCTGGGGTCGTCGCCTGCCAACCCCCTGCTCCTTCAGCTGCCTTCACAGGGAGCTGTTTCCACCAGCTCACACACAATGGGGCTGGAGGGAGCTGGGGGCAAGCGGGGAGCCCATCTCCCCGGTGTCAGGCCGGGAGCCCATCTCCCCGGTGTCAGGCTGGGCTGAATCAGCCCCAGGTCTTTGGTCTGACTTTGGTTCTGCTG